TCCGTGTGACATGTCAACCACGAAATTTAGATACGAACAGATAACTGAGACTCCTCCCAGTTACACGACACAAGTTAGGTCTATTGATTTACGAATAATGAAACTAACAGTCTTTTTTGTTTGTCCACAGAATGACCGCATAACAAAATTGAAAATAGATAACAACCCGTTCGCTAAGGGCTTCAGAGCGTGCGGCCAGTCTAAATGCAAGAGAAAGAATCCAGACTCAGGCAGCGAAGGTAACCCGGAGCCGAGCACGGAGCCCACTGACGCCAAGAGACCTTGTTCTGATGCCGCGTCCTCTTGCTCTGAGGAGGGCAGCTTACGCTCCTCATCGCCGAGGTCGCCGCCTTTAGTTGAATCCCCTGCTCCGCTCGTCACACCTCCAGAGAACATTACTCCACCACCAGCCGCGTTCTACCCTCCAGAGTTACCGTACCTAGGACCACTACATATGCCGATGCCCCTAGGTCTCTGGCCTAGCAGTCCTTTGGCTAGCGGTTTCTCGTGGGGCCCCGCACTGCCGCCGCCCCTACCGGCGGCGCCTTCACCCCCTGCCGCGCCGGCGCCCTGCAGACGGGTAAAAAGCTTCACGATTAGCGCTCTACTCGGAGAAGGATGATTTCATATTTACACATTTCTACTGGACAATAAATGACTAAGAAGTTTAAGTATCTACAAAAATTTTGTTTGTTCCTTCGCGAACGTTACATCTTGTACTTATGTAACTCTGCGCCATGTCACCATACGATAAGGTACTTAAATTAAAATTGTATAAAGACGTTAACGCGACAGGGATATTCGCAATACCTACTTACCATATAAATTAATGTAAATATTTTATAGAAACATAGTTTTATTTTAATGTTTAATGAATAAAATTTATATGCCTACCTCGTTATGATAAGTAATTATTGTAATTATTGTATTGTGATAGCAGTGCCTTAAGTTTGTATAAATGTATGTTAAATATAAAAACAATTTAATTAAGTAGTCAATATTATCCTAATATAGGTAATCAATGGAACCTTTATTACCCTGATAATAGTAATGGACCTTTGGACGTTGTAACCTAGGTCACTTCAATAAAGGTACAGTAATGACTTCCGTACAAAATCTCTGAGTTCGTACCTATTTATGTCACATAGTGTGCGTGCAATCATGCATGTGCACTTGTACAGGCAATAAAGTTTAAACCTGTGTAAATCTACTTAATCTAGTTTTTGTAAACTTATTATTTTAGACTTGTTACTTAATTTTATGTGAATTCTCTCCTACTTATATTTTGTTCTTAAAGTGCTGTACTGTAAGGCTTGCCTTCAGTTTATATTCTTTTGGGTTGGCGAAATAAATGTCGATTGAAGATTTCGCAACCATGACTTATGCCTTATGTATCAATATGTATCTGTCACTTATGTAACTATTGTAAATACTGTAAATAATATCAGTCACCAATTAAGCAATTACAATATATTTTTATATTTGACTTAATTTTGAATTTTCATTTTCTGTTAATATGTACCCATTTATTTTACCTACCTACCATCGTCGTCATATCCTACATTGAAATTGGTGAAAATAATAAATAAAACATAAGTTTTATTACAAACTTCTTTATTACTACAGAACTGCACTATCTCTGTACTACCTTAAAGTTGCTAAAAGAATTTCAAGCGTCTATATTAATTCTTTCATAGTTTTGTACCTACTAAATAACAATTAAGTACCCAATGTGAAGTTAATAATTAGTACCTACATAATTTTGTAGGTAATTATGTAGGATTTATACAAATAGATGCACCGGAGATCTTTCACATCACATCAACAGCCTATAAGTGGCCACGGCTGAGCAAAGGCCTCTTCTCACACGGAAAAGGTTTGAGCATTAATCACCACGCTTGCTCAATACAGGTTGGCGATTGTAGACTTATAATTAGAAATTATAAGCCCAGGTTTTCTCTCGATGCTTTCCTTTACCGTTTGTCAGTGGTATCTAAATAATCTTAGAAAGTGCATGTAACTCGGAAAAGTCACATTGGTACTTGCCGTTGATAGGTTTCAAAGACCTTTACTGAGACAAAATAAATATTGCCGCGTATCACCAACATCATCATTCACCACATAGATATTGCTTTGTTATTAGTATTATACCTATTAATAAATTGGTTTGGCATATATTAATTGAAAATAAAAGAAATTTGACGGGAAGCAGTAGCTTGACTGCTGGGTAAAACGTTTAAAATAAAATAAAATAAGCCTATAATAGTTACAATAAACAAAAAATTACTTGTAACCAAAGTTGTAACAGAGGTAAGAAATAAAGCTAACTTAAAACTACTTTCACATAATCTCAGCAATTGGTCTCTTCTCTTACAACAGCTTGTCTTTCAACGAAGGTCTCGTCTAAGGGCTTCCATTTGTTTCTGTCCGTTGCTTAAGTCGTCTTCCCATCGGTTATGCTCTCTTCCTCTATTTCTTCTGCTGTCTCTAGGGTACTATCTCGTTATTATTCTGATTCTCTCTGTTTTCTCTCTTCTCTCTCAGCATATGTCTTGTCCAACGCCATTTCAGCGTTCTATATACTGATAGGACATTTCCGAACTTAGTATTTCCTTTGATCTCTTTCAGTTCTGTCTTATCTTTTCTTCTTACCCCCAAACACTTCTCTCAATTCCATTTTGACATACTTACCTTTAATTTATTCTGCTGGTGTTTAGTTAAGGCCCAAGTTTGGCATCTATATATAAGAGATAGTAGTAGGCAAACATTGAAGATTTTTCGTTTTTCTGTCATAGGCATTTCTTTATTTTTCATTATTTCGCTTAGTGTCTAGAATATTTTTCATGTAGGTAAGTAGTTATTTCCATTTCCGTCTGCATACACTTTGTGATGACACTAATTGGCCTAAATACATGTATTCGCTTATATGTATATCCCAGCTGCTGATTGTCGATTATAATAGGAGACTTTGTAGGAAATTGCGCAATATTTTTGTTTTTAAGATGTTTATTGTGAGCCCTGCATTAGAGCTTTCGTAGCATTCCTTCCAGGGTCTTGGGGCATTCAGTGAAAATTATCAGATCGTCAGCGAATCTCAAATGGCTCAGATTTTTCTGTTCACGTTAAAATCGAAATTTTCCCAGTCAGTCAAGTCTCCTGAAAATCAACTCCAACATAGCTGAGAATATCTTCGGCGAGATCGGGTCTCCTTGAAGTACGCCTCTTTCTACCGGGAACTCTTTCCCTGACCTCTCCAATTTTATTTGTGCTCTGCTTTTCCATAGATGATTTTTAAGATGCGTGTTTATGGAGCCCTTGGTGTTCTAACGATTCCCATAAGTAGTGGTGTTCCAAGGAGTCTAACGCCTTATAAAAGTTCACAAAATCCAAGTAATTTTTCATTATTATTTATTAATCATTTATTTCAGACCAAGAGTCCATAAACTGTTAGTAACAATGAGCTTAACCTATTGTTAGTAATTTAATATAATATAAATAAACAAAACTAATTCTACTTTACAGACGCGTGCAGTCTAATCCAATGGCCCAACATTGGGCTATCCCATTTATCACACAATACGCTCAAGATGCTGTGTGAACTGCCACGCATTCTACTGAGGCTAACTACTGTAATGTTAAAGGGTAAAACGTTTAATAAAACGTAAATCTAGAACAGCTAGAACAATAAAGCAATCGGTACTTTTCTAATGTTAATCATTTCTGTCTTTAATTAGGTGGGTAGGTACTTATAGTTAATCGTTGTACGGTTGGTGTTGTGTTCGATTCCCGCATAGAACTAATAATAATTTGAGTAATCCATAAATTATTTTTGTTCTGGGTGTGGATGTCTAGATGTGTTTTTATTGTGTGTGAAATTAGGTACGTGTTTGTAAAAGTATCCACGACACAGGAAATCCAAGTGGAGGACGTACATTTTTACAAGGTTACACAGTTTAACTGAACCTAACTGTAGTTTAACTTATACCACCCACAACTCAGCTATCGGATTTTAAACGTATGTCACATAATGTAGCTACGATACGAAGTTTGTAGCCTTTGATCAATCAATAGCAATTATATCGCACCCTCAAAGTAAAACCGTTATTAAACGAAAATATTCATGAAATTAATGCCATCTAATTATTTTAGGATTTTTAAATAATCAATTCATAAAAAGGTTTTACTTCAAAGGTGCTATATGTATCTGAAATTCTCAACCCTTGAGAAATATTTCGTTATCTTACAGAGGTAACTTCATTAGGAGAATAAGAAATTTTATGCTTTTTAAGAGACGTAACTGGAAATATCACCAACATGGTCCACAAAATAAAAATAATAACACCCGGTACCTATTAAATGACGAATGTAATCATTTTTCTTTTTTCATAATAATATTGCAAATCAAAGGATTAGTTAGTGTGTAATGTATGTTAGTTAAGTGTAGCAGCGCCATCTATTGGCTAACAGAAGAACCAGTAAGGGTCTCACTCAGCTAACAAAGCACGCAACAAGCGTGCGTGCGTGAGCCCAACTTCATGAAACAGCTGGCAGTTTATCTAATCCTGATAATATCCTTCAGAGTATTGATTTTAATATTACTGTCATGTCATGTCAAAATATTGACATTGATATCAGGCACACCCTGCATAATAAAAATAGATTTTAGGGTAAAATAAAAGAGCTGCAATTTATAATTTTGATATATTGAATTTACAGATTACATACACACTGAAGAAGTTACAACACATTATGTACAACAAATGCTCTAGCAAAGTTTGAACCAATAACAGCATTTTAAAATTGTTTGCCATAGCAAAAGTAATTAATTTGTGATTGATACAAAAATATTGAACTTCTGTTGTAATTAGAAGAACATTATTTATTTTGTGTGTCAGATAAACTATAAAACCTACATTACAAGAAAATACATCCAGATAGTTAAAGTGGAATTGTTTTATCCTTATATTTTTAGACACCAATCACCCTGGCGAATGTTACTCCTATCCTGCTACTAAGTTTTGAAGCTCGGAACTCAACTCGTTAGCATCAATGTTGACTTTAGCATTGTTGGTGGGTGCGGGAGCACTGGACTCTCTGTTACAGGCCTTCTTATGCACAAACCAGTGCAAGCGCTGGCACTCCCTGTCACAATACTGCACAGATTTGCACTTGGAACACTTCTTGGCTGGCTTTTCCTCACCACAAGTGCTACAGTACGGGATGGCGTCCACAAACCCTCTCTGACCATTGATAGTGCAATTGATCACAGACAGAGCGGGTGGAGGGTCTTTACTAGTCAGGGAACTCACCATCTGGTGGAAAGTTGTACATTCTCTAAAAGGAAACTCTCGCACACAATCTTTTAAGAATGTGTCCATTAGGTCCAAGGAAACACCATCCTTGCCAGGCTTCAACAGTTTCTTAGAGAACACTTCAACAACATCGTGTTTCTTCTCCTCCTTGTCAGCATTTGGCTTCTTATCCCTAATATTATGAATTTCTCTAAGTACATAGGCCAAGTAATGATATTTAAATGCCATCACTTCGTTAGTATCACCTCCTCTTGTCATCTCTTTCTTGCACAAAAGCTCCAGTGTTTTAATAACTTTGTCAGCATTGTCTAATAAGGTAGGTATGTGTTGTAGATTGAGTGCCAGTCGCACTGGGTGGATGTTTACACCAAGCACAAACTTATGAAGAGGGTCAACTAAGGAGGCAGGTAGGTAAGGTTCTGTTTGCTGTCCTTGTAAAGCAGTAAAGTATGCAACTTCGGTGCGCGGCACGTAGTTGTTGATGGTCGCGACAGTGTGGTGGTTACCAACAAACGCAGCCATCTGCGAGGCAGTACGCCCAACAGAGTTAGTAGCAGTTGACTTCGCGCCCGCGTCCAGGAGCAGCTTGCAAACCTCTGAGCTACCAGACAGGGCGCCAAAGTGCAGAGCCGTGTAGTTGTACTCATGCTTTCCAGAATTAACATCGGCTCCCTGGAAAAACGAATTGTCAAATTAATTTTGGTAACAAAACAATTAACGTTTGCCAAAATTGTTAGTGAAAGCTACGTACCCTGTCGAGTAACAATTGAACCATATCCTTGTTGCCCTTATAAGCGGCGTGTTGCAAAGCAGTCATACCATTTTCGTCAAAGAAATCGACGGTTCCTTTGTGTTGAGCCAAAATATTCTTGAATTCTACTAAATCATTTTGAGCTATAGCATCAAATATAGTTTTTTCAGCACCTGGCTTTTCTTCCGTTTTACCTTCCATATCGATTTTTTGAAAACTTTTGATAAATTGAACGAAAGATGCTACCAGAAGCAAACAACCTCTAAAGTGGTCCGTCAATGTCAAAGTCACTTTGACAGTTGTGGCCCAGAGATGTGCCTAATGGGGCTACACCCGAACAGTGTTGCATTATTTAAAAAAAACGTTTAGTCGATTTTGAAATTAAATAATTAAATGTAAGTATGTTATATTTTATATTATCATATGCATAACGTTATGTTACAGTTTTGTGTGTAAATCATATCTTTCATAAAAGATTCTTTAATTTCCGATTTTTTTTATGGAATAGGAGGCAAACGAGCAGACGGATCACCTGATGGTTAGCGATCAGCACCGCCCATGGACACCCACAACACCAGAGGAGTCACAGGATATCAGCTTTTATGCCTATCAAAGCATTATATTGGTTGTTGCTATTAGCTAACCCGCATTGAGTAACCGTGGTGATTAATGCTCCAATATGACCAGTGTCAAAAGGGCCTTTGCTTAACACTTGTTTCTTATAGACTGTTGATGATGATGGTACTAATGACACGTAAAGCTTTACTTCACCTAACCAGCTTTATAACTGCCAAAACTTTAAGTTTTAATATTAGCGAATATTCTGTTAATTAATATACCATACGCCACATTAGCGTAATATAAAGGTACTATTTCGACTATAGCGTTTTCTATAGATACCTAATAGCGTGGTGTAGATAAAAACTAACCAACTGTTATAAAAAGTACATAATACATAAGGCATATATTTTTCATTAAGGTACATTTATTATTTCGATATCGTATTTTCAGCTTTTATTAATATCGTAAATGAGGTTTTTCTGAACGTATTATGAATTAATTATTAACAGCTTATCATATTTATGATTTAATTACTAGTTCGTTTAACGTCGTAGTTCCATTTAATAATATTTTTGTTAAGATTTACATTTCTTGTTTGAAAAATACTGACTCATAACAAATTAAAATAAAAGAGGTTGAAAATATAAAAATGAAAGTCGAATTTAGTAAGTATAAATTTATTCTAACAATCAATAGTCATAATGGCTGGTATGACTACTGATGTAACATCAACAACTATAATACGAGTACATATTTAATACATCAATCATAACTGAGATACATTTAACTTTATCTAAAATTCTAAACAGTGAGTTGCCTATTGCCTATTAAACTAGTCTAAATGCTAGTAAAAGCGTGATTATAAATATGGCATATTTTATTGGAATAAGTATTCTTTACGAATAATATCTATAGAAGTTGTAAACATTTTAATTATGAACATCGAGAGAATGAAAGCGGAGATTCTATAAACTACACATCGAGTAAGCTGAAGTGTAGCGCCTGTGGAGCGTATCACATTCCTAACGTAATGGAAGATCCATTGATATCCAATCCATTTACTTCAAAAATCATTATACCATTCATCAGTCCGCATTGCCCAGGACGGAGTGACGAATAGTAATTAAAATAAGTAAACTTGGTAAACAAAATACATGAAACACATTATTAAAAAAATGGAGCACGTATACATTGATTCTAAACCACAACATTTAGATTTAAAATGGGATTAAATATGTGATGATATATTATTGATCTAGAAACACTGATTGCACTAATTTTAAATTCTACGATAGCGTAAATAATATCATGTGGGTACATGAACTTCCAGTTCTAATCTATATTCATAATTTTAAGTATTACGATTGATTAGAATAATCATTTTATTGTTTCTATTATCTACACAGCATTTCATTTTCCTTAATTGCTAAGAGTATATCACTAGTCTTCATTATAATATTTAAACAGAGAATATAGTTTGCTATTAGAATAGGTACTTATAAGGCGCTAAATTATATTGCGCTAGAAAGACGAATTAAACTGTCTATGTACTACATAATATTTTATCATTTATATTTCAGTACTACAAATACTACTTCTTATTGTTAATAAACAGCCACATATTTCACTTACATCTTAAAATAAATAAAATCTTACATTTATTAATGCTACCATACACGTTTTGAGTCATAGATATACAATATTTCATAATTTTAAGTATAAAGGAGAGTATAATACGATTAAATGGATTAGGTAAGCTCAATTATATGAATAGGCGATTAGTAAGTATCTATTGATTGGCCTATTGCGCAACACTACTGCGATTTTTTATGATTACCAGGTTAAAAAAATTCTACGGGTATATTTTCTAAGTGTGGAAACACTAAAGACCTAACTGGGATTTTTCGAGGATGTAGAAGGGTTCAAAATAGACGTTTTTATTGTAATTGTAAAACTAACACTGAGTTCTCTTTCAAGAAACATTTTTCATAATAGTAATTGTTCCAGCGTCAACCTTTATGCTTGATGGGTCTATATATCTAAACTACAGCTAAAAACATCGACGGTTTGCTGAATAGTCGGTTAAACTTACAGGCGTATTAGATCACGCGAAAAGTAGCCTAAACTAACACTATTTCTACTTTATTTATTGAAAGATATAATATAATCTTAAACTTACGTAAATATGAGTAAATATAGACATCAAAATAATTATTTCTCGTTATTTTTAAAATAGGTAACTAGGTACACCTACTCGTAAACAGGGTATATAGAAATTCCAAGAAATACAGAATATATACCGATATAATACCTATTCATTAATAAATTAAATCTAATAAAATTTTGCTCAATGACCTGCCTAAGATCTAGTTTTTTCCTACAAAGCGAAAACTCCAGTTTTGGTCTACAAAAACCACTAGTAAAGCTTTACTACTACACAGGGGTTGATTATATATAAATATCATCCTTATTTAATTACAGCCCTTCACTACTTACCCTTTCGACTCCACCTTCAAAACTTACCACCCTCAATCTTAACCTAAGAAATAATAAGTCTTACTCATGTCACATCGTTGAAAAAAGGCAAAATATAAACTCGGGGAAGCGATAATCTTGGAGTAACAAACATGGACACCGACAGTCCCACAATTAAATACACTCTTTAGGAACATAGACGAATGGCCATCTTTGCAATGACGAAAGAAGAAAGTCTAAATAATGAATCTCACAGACACATGATGGTCTACTTAAATCTGAAAAATTTTTGTTGATTTTTTGACAAATTGAAAAGGTATTCTCCCTCCAATTCCTTCCTTCATTGCAGATGAAGCTTCGTTAAAGTCAAAGACGGCCATTAGCCTAAGCCCCCAGTTCGCTTCTGTTCGGTACGTAACGCCTATACTCTATACGTAGTAGACGTCGAAGGAGAGCTGTGCTCAGACGAGCGCGGGTGGCGGTGCGGCGGGGGGAGTGGTCGGAGGGGGGGAGGTCGGAGTCACCACGGCTGAGGCCAGTCTCACGCCACCACTCTCTGATACCACGACCCCATTATGGACCGTGCCGTTGCCTTCTGTGTCAGCATACGGAGTCGTCAGGAGACGCAAACGCTAGAATGAAATAGTGAATCAAGTAACCGAAAACTACATAGTTATACACACATGAAGTAATTTTCATATTTGTGGTCCTTTTCAATATATCTCAGTAGGTATTAGTAAGGATTGTTACCAATGAACAATAAATGGGCTATAATTCTATTAAAAAACTAAATAAAGTGGTTAAGGTCGTAGCAGGACTATGCGGCTGACCACATCGTAGATTCCACGGCGTAGCGCTGGAGCGTAGTTCTACAGCGTAGCACTGTGGCGTAGGCTTACATCGTAGTACTGCTAGTTTAACAATTTCAATTTCTTTTTTCATCGCTATTAAAACTAATTAATTAAAACAAACTAATAATGCTTAACTTTTCGTCGTACCTCAACAAAAGTTCCTTTCGCAGTAATCAGTTTGTAGATCGCAACAGTTGGAATGCACATGACACTTGAGCCAGCTATGGCCCACCCAAGTGCATTAGCCCATCCAGGGTACACGTAATCCTCGTATCTCAGCGGTTCATAGTCCAGAAGTCCGTAAGCAGTGATAAAGAGAAGGAAGGCCGGGGCGGCAAAACGCCAGCAGACGCGCCAATATAGACCGGGACGGAAGCCGATCATATCGCGAATATCCTCGCAAAAACGCTCCGTACCTGGTAAAGTGAAAGTGTTATGTCGGAATACTCAAACGCTACTCAATTTTAAGTCGCGCTTAAGTATAGTTCTGTCTCCACAAATTCTTTGTAAAATGACAGAGATGGCACGGTATTTAAGCACGCCTCTCGAATACTCTTTATAAAGAGTTAGATTAGTTTAAAAAATGATGTATTTATTATTTATAATAAGTTAACCATTTGTATCATCATCCTGTTTTCGTCCTTTTTGCTTCCAATATCACCATCACTGAGCTCTGCTAGCTCTTCTTATATAATTACTGCCAGCCATATCGCGGTCATTCCAACTAGATTTTCCAACTACATTAGTTGAGAAATGAATACATTTTTATGCTCACCATAAATCCAAGACACAGCAATAGCTTCGAAGAACACAGCAACTAAGATGGAGTATCCAGCAGCGTATCTGTCAAGCAGTTGGAAGAAGTAGAAGCCGCCCTTGGTGCAGGAAGCGAGGCCCACGAAGAAGTAAAGAGTGAAGAGACACGCCACGAAGATCTCACGATGACGACCGATTGGAGGGAACTCGTCACTCAGTGCTGTTATTATTGCCTCGGAGCCGCCGAACTGAGATAGAAAAAAAAAATATTTAAAAGAAATGAAATTGTATTTGGAAGAACTTAAAGTGATAAAATAATAAAGAACTTACAGAGCTATCCAAACCAAGGGTGAGAAGCATCATGAAGAAGATTAGAGCCCAGAAGGTGGATCCAGGCATGGTTGCAATAGCTGCCGGGTAGACCACGAACACAAGTCCTGGTCCTTCGGTGGCCACATCCTGCACATCTCTGCCTGAAGCATGGGCCATGTACCCTAGTACACTGAAGATCACGAAGCCGGCTATGAACGATGTTGCTGAGTTGATCACGCTTGTCAGTATGGCGTCCCTAGGAGAAATTAATATATATATATATGTGTACAGAAGGATTATGTTGTAGAACCATATAGAGGTAGAATGGCCAAAATTATTGATACATTTAAGTAATGTCACCATGAAATATCTCACAATATCATGTTTATAATAGAAATATTACACTAGTCACAAATTGTTTCCTCAGATTGGCGCAGTACTCACTTGTACACGTTGTTATGGTACTTATTGTACGATGCATAAGCCAACAGCACTCCGAAACCAGGTCCCAAAGAGAAGAAAACTTGTGTTGCTGCATCTACCCAAACCTTCAACCAGAATGAATAATCTCAAAATAAAACACTTTATTATTTTTTAAATAAACACAAAATAAAGAATATTTTAATTACCTGAGGTTGAGAAATAGCTTCGAAGTTAGGACTGAGGTAATACTGAATACCAGTTGCGGAGCCAGGGAGGGTTATGCCTCGGACCAAGAGAATTAAAAGTACTGCGTAAGGAAAAAGAGCTGTAAACCAAACCACCTGAAAGAAAAAATGGTTAAATACATGAAAATCACGATTGTTTTGGTATCATAACTTCATAACGATGTCTCGTACGTAGATCAATATAAACAAAAAACTTACTTTCCCAGAAGTGCTGATGCCCTTCCAAAGAGAGAAGTAGCAGATGATATAGACTGCCAGCAAGCAGAGAGCCATGTCCCATTTTATTGCGCCTAGGTCGTGGAGTCCTTCACTTCCTTGCAGTTCCAGAATGGCTCGACTAGAACAATAAAACCATGTAATTTTTTTTTAAATCCAAAGAAGTTAGATGATAATTTGAAGTGCCAACTTACTTGAAATACTCAGAAGCAGCTGACGTAAATGGAGTTGTTGGGGGTGGTGCTAGGGATCCTGATGAGCTGTTATTACGGAGCCGAGTTCTGTTTGAAGCTTCCCAGATTGCTTCAAACTGCATAATCGAAAATAAATACTTTAAGAAAGCAGTCATTAAAGTAGTGAATTGTTAACAAAATAAAAAAAACTACGCAAACTTACCGGTCGGCAAGCTGGTGTATTCCACTCGTTGTCACAGTTGGTCCAGGGAAGCATGGTGGTAAAGGAAGCGAAGAAGAAGCGCAACGCCCACGCGATGATGACATTGTAGTAGAAGTCCACGTAAAATGCTATCAGAACCACCGCATACCCGATACCTAAGGATAAATTATCAACTCTAAACTAAAGAAATTCTCACGATGCCGAGTTGTAAAACAATAGCTTCAATAAAATCATTTCACACTTCTCCGAACGTTCTCAATTCATTCCATCAAAAAATACTTTCAGTGAAAGCGGATTTTCCACCTTTCCGGACCATTACCAATTTTATTTCTCTTCAAAAATCATATCGTGGTGGGAGCCACTCAGGGCGCGAGACGTGACAATCGCGTGAAATGAAATCAACGGGCATAAGCCGGCCTCGCAAATCTACCGGAGCCTTTTGAGACCGTATGGGACGAGCACTTAAGGGGAGCCCCGAGAATGGTGTCAATTATGGGTGTTAAGTGCGGGGGCGACGTCCGACTAGACCGCGATCTTGTAAATGACATGTCCCATGTTTTGCATAAAAAGTCTTGAAGTCGGGTGGATTGTTTATCGGTGCGTATGATTGATGGTCCTTGAGTCACGAAACACATTACATATAGGTTTTGGGTTTACATTACCCAATCTTTTAGAACGAAGACAACACATCACTAGTACCTATGTACTAAATGGTTCCATTGGCAACAAAGGAAAATCTTTTACATTCGTTACAACGTCTGCATACAATAATATGGTACTCTAAAACTAAAGTGAGTACCTATTTGATGTACCTAAAATCTCCCTGAAATACCAAACTTTTCACATACGAGGAAATGCCATCCTTATCAGGCAATAGAAGAAAGTTAAGTGGTGCGAACTATAATTCTTGTTCGCCAAATGTGGGGTCTACCATACCGATGACATTAGCCGTCGGAACGTGACCAGTCGGCAATAAATCTGGCGTATGACTCGAACGTGACCCCATAAAACTGAGTCAAGTAAAGAGAAATCGTACCAATTTAAAATTAAAACCACTTCGTCTGTCTTTGTAAGCTTGGTGAGAGAGGATATGTGGTTGGTATAGTGCTTGTGTTATTAATGTCTTCTGATCACACGGAACCATGATAGTTTTGTGTCAAACTTTTTATTATCGCATTTTCAATCAATCACAGACAGATTGACTTCGTACGACAATAATGCACACCTATTTTTTTTCTGTAAGTAAGGCCCACAATTTTTTCAAGTCTATCTTTTAAAGAACCTAAGACTTACCTTTAAAAAGTGGTACCAGTCTCCCCCAGCAGGTGATGGCGCCCTTCCGATGGAACTGGCCCAGCGCCAGCTCCATGTAGAACAGCGGGATACCGCCCACCACCAGCATGATGCAGTACGGCACCAGAAAAGCGCCTGGTTAAAAAGAAAACGATGTGTCTTATGACTAGTCTAGGCTAGTAAATAACCTAAGGTAGATTTGGGTTCGTATACCCTACTCTATACAAAATAAGTCCAAATTCGGTAAAGCTATCCATAGATAAGTTATTAAGACTGATCTTAAAGCATTAAGTTACATTTAGAATCGAAAGCTTAAATAAACATTAACAAATTGATTATTATTACGATTTACGCGACATAGGTACCTACTTATGCTCAGAACTTGGCTCTTGTTAGGTATATTATTATATAGTAGATACCTACCTACTAAAACAAGAGACTCAAAACGTCTTTTTTTTAAGGGGGGAAAATCATCGAGTGACTGCTCCCGCCTGGGTGAGGCGGAAGGGAGTGTCAGACTCTTACTGACTAAAAACCACCCCGTTCCTTCTCCTGCAGGTCAAGCCCGAGCCCCGGTTACCCATTAGGTTCTCCGCGACACTCAAAATGTCTAAAGAGTAAGAATTACTAAATATTAACCCATTTTAACATTTTCTATTACTTATACAAACAACTAAAAATCTATTGTTCCACGAATCTCAACTAGGTACATACATAATGTTTCAATAATAACGTACATTTTTCAGTCGATTTCCCCCGAAGAGTAGGTACCATCGGAATCTTGGCAATACTGAAGCAATAATTTGATATCGGCCCCGGGAGAGAGGCGACGCAAATTGTTCTGTAATTGGCCTTTTAAGGCTTTCGCATTTACTTCCAATACGCTTTTATGAAACTTGAGATGTTCAAGGCATTCCAGCTCATTTATGTAGATTAATTATACGTAGTACCTACTCGAAATGTATGTGTTGGTAATGAAATAAGTTAGCTTTTACAGGTAGAGCGTTCTGGCATTTTATTTATAGACTCGTAGTAGCCTAGAAATATTTTCGTAATTTCACTAAAATTCATATACACAAAGGAAAATTCATATAAGGCAGATTTTTATACTACGCCTATCGTATTTATTGATGGCGAGGTTAAAAGTAAACTCTTCAAAAGGGAAAAATAGTTCGTAAGATTAACATTGCTTTAACAGGTACACAATTTATAATTTCTTAGAATCAGATTTCCTTTAGAAAATGCGTTTAAGTTCTTCGAAACAAATCTGTAAATGAGGTCAGGATGAACCAAGTCTTGCACGAGTGACGACGCACGGCTTCCAAGTAAACAGTAATGAATAACAACGACAATTGCTAAATGACGAACATCCGACATCGTTACACTATAATTGAGTATTACGAGGGATCCCACACAAACAATTTTAATGTTTCTGTTTTATCTAAAAATACAGAAAATCTTCGAAGCCGTTTTGTAATATTTGTACGATTCGTACACTTTGCAGATTGTAGTTAGTTGTTGGAGTGTGAAGAGAAAAGAACACGAAGGTGTGGTTGAATAAGTTAAGTTACATTACTGATTGACACACAAGTTCGTCGATATTGACTATTCCTTTCTTTTAAGTAACAAGTTTGTGTTATTGATGACAAATGCACTACACTAGTACGTATGTGTAGAAACCGTGTATTAATAATTAGGCAAAAATGACACGCAGTCGTGCCGACTGCAGTGTCATCAAAAGGCATGTACAGTTGAAGACTATAATAATAATAATAATAACCCCACCGATGTATCTCTACGTTGTCGACGTGGTGGGGCTTAAGGGCTCCGACCCCTAGTCTTATCTTGACTGGGGTAGGAACCCGACTAAAAGAGATACAACCCAAGCCAAGGTTGCATACGCTGAGGGCTGCGTGGCTAAGGGGGTGCTTAGTCGTTAGTATGCCAACTCTGGAAACCAGGGGACTTCCAGTTTTATTTACCCTTGCCACAGTGAACGCAGGGCTCTGCTGTGGTCGACCTGTTTAGTCCCTAGCTACTCGTGGGAATAAAAATGATAACCAGATCTAAAAATAAAAATTCAATGCAGGCAAAGGTGCCTCCAACAGATGTTGAAACATCTACGGCGTCATTGTCGTCCTCTCCGAGATCCATATTCTCATCAATCACACCATCATCACTTTCATTCAAATCACGTTCACTAAGATCATCTACTTCATCAACAATATCAGTAGACGTTGTGCCGGAGGCTACTGTAGCCAACAACCCGACATCCGCTACTGGTACAAAAAATACGCGTATAAAATGGAGCAACGAAATGAACGAATTCATTTGGCGTAACTACCTCATCATCACAAATTTAGAAACTGATACAAATGCTTATTTGAATACACTACACACTAAGTTCACCGAACAATTTCCAAATATTACAGTTTCCAAGCAAAGAATAGGCGATCAAAGAAGAGCCATTGTCAACAACAAGTTACTACCAACAATTACACTTGATGCAATTAGGTCAGAAGTACAGACTCTTTTACTAACTCAAAATGGCACACAACAAATACAGACTCAATCACAACAAGAATACACACAAATCAATACACTAGCGCACATACAAACCAAAACCCGAATGAAATGGTCAAACGAACTCAATGAAACTCTTATGAAATTCTATTTTGAAGTTACTAAGATGGAGACAGACATGACAATGTGGCGGAAAAATCTTAGAGACAAATTCATAGAATGTTACCCTCACTTAGCACACTTATCAGAACAACGCATATCAGACCAGAAAAGAGTAATCATAAATAACAAAATGATTCCTGAAACGCGACTACAAATCATAAAAACGGTAGTGGAGCAAGAGATGCATGAAAGAGATGCAACGGTTTTTCAAAGATCGAATAGCCCAATCTTACAACAAACTACGCATTACACACATACACAACCACAAATAAATGTAGAGAACACTAGTCTAGAATTAGGATCGCAGGAATTAGATTTTACAGACGAAAATTTCGATCAACAGCCCACTACTATTAACACACATACTGAAAACTATGAAAGAGATTCTGATATAGACGAACTATTCTTACAAGCCCTACAATACTACACTGAAACCCATCCCACCAATAGATGCTATATACCCAAACAAAGGACTTCAAAAAAATTTGCAAAAACAGTACAATACATTAATAAAGTAATATTGCCAGAGCATGTTAATACAGATACAGAGTTTAACCAACTACAAACAATCATATATAGTGCCGCGTGGACAGCTGCTAAGGTCAATGGAAGTAAAATCAGTTTATCATTTGCTCAAGATCGTAATAACTCGCACAGCAATCGTAAACCTAGATGGCAAAAAAGATTAGAACATAAAATAGAAGTAATCAGGTCTAAAATAGGTAGGTTAACATATTACATGCAGGGCCATAGAAGTAGAAAATTAGATAGAGAAGTTAATAAGATAATAAGAGACTATAAGATACACACTATACACGAAGAACCTAACAGACAACTTACACATTACTTAGACACACTCAAACAGAAACTCACAGTAATTAAAAGTAGGTTAAATAGATACACTAAATGCACATTACGCAAAACACAGAATAGTCAATTCAAAAATAACGAAAAGCAATTTTACCGAACTTTAAAACAATCAACAACCAACCACACCACGTCAAATAACACAGCACATACAGCTTTTCCTGTTGAAGAGGACCTACGCCAGTTTTGGGCAGGAATCTGGGAAAATCCTGTGTGCCACAACACACAAGCTGATTGGATTAAAACTGAGGAAATCAATTATAACACTATTCAACAAATGCAATTTGATCAAATAGATGTTGAAACATTTCACGATGTTCTCAATAAAGCTCATAATTGGAAAGCCCCGGGAACTGATAATATCCATAACTTCTGGTTAAAAAAATTCACAACAATTCACCCTCATTTGTACAACCATATTAACAATTTTATTAAAAACCCAACAAATATTCCTCCCTACTTAACGGAAGGCATAACGTATATGTTGCCAAAAGACCTTAATGACACGGCAAATCCTGCAAAATACAGACCTATAACCTGCTTACAAACAATGTACAAAATAATAACAGCATGCATAACTAACATAATATATAAACACATCGACACACACAAAATATTAACAGAAGAGCAGAAAGGATGTAGGAAGTTTAGCCAAGGTTGTAAAGAACAGTTATTAATAGACTCGGTTATACTTAAAGACGTACAAAAATACAAAAAAGATTTATATACCATGTACATTGATTATAAGAAAGCTTATGACTCAGTACCTCACTCCTGGTTGCTTCACATTTTAAAAATTTACAAAATCCACCCATATATCACCCGCTTTTTAGAAAACATTATTAGTAAATGGCAAACCAAACTTCATGTAAATACGTCTGTAGGTGTTGTAGAGACAGAATTTATTAAGATCCAGCGAGGTATCTTTCAAGGTGACTCCCTAAGCCCTCTTTGGTTTTGTTTAGCTTTAAACCCACTGTCAAATCAATTAAAATCTCTAAAGGCTGGCTTTCAACTTAAATACAGGAACACAATAACTACTACAGAAATTCGCCATCTACACTGTACAATAAACCATCTTCTCTACATGGACGACATCAAATTATACGCATCTTCTCCAGAGGATTTACATCAGCTAGCTGACGTAACCGAAATATTTTCAAATGACATAGGAATGGAGTTTGGAATCGATAAATGTAAAATCAATTCAGTGAAAGCAGGCAAAACTTACACGCACTCCTATCAGTTACAAACAGGTGATACCATTGATTCCTTGGATGAAAGCGGTACTTACAAATATCTAGGGTACATACAAACGAAACAAATCTTGCATAAAGAAATTAAAAGCCAGCTCACAAAACAATTTAAACACAGACTAAAAATAATATGTAATACTCAATTAAACGCCCGAAATACTATAAAAGCTATTAACACGTATGCTATTCCAATTCTCACATATTCATTTGGTATCATAAATTGGTCCAAAACAGAGCTTCAGAATCTACAACGCAACATTAATACAACACTAACAAAATACAGACGACACCACCCAAGATCATGCACACAAAGACTTACACTACCAA